TTTAGGACAAGATGCCGTTTGCATGGTGGAGAGCAGCAAGGTGATGAAGGGACCTTTGAAGACAGCGCCACTGCAGCGCATGCGCACTTCTTATCTCATAATTATGACTTTTTATCTCATTATTTCGACTTTTTTTCTCTATTTCGACTTTTTATCTCATAATTTCGACTTTTTATCTCATAATTATGACTTTTTATCTCATTATTTCGACTTTTTATCTCATAATTTCGACTTTTTTATCTCATAATTTCGACTTTTTATCTCATAATTATGACTTTTTATCTCATTATTTCGACTTTTTATCTCTTTATTTCGACTTTTTATCTCATAATTATGACTTTTTATCTCATAATTTCGACTTTTTATCTCATAATTATGACTTTTCATGGGGATTTTATTTTTTTCAAGTGGCGGAAATGGGCTTCCATACAAATCCACTCTCTTTTGTTTTTAGAAATCTGAAAAGTAACCAATTCAACTTCAAAAGCCAATTAATTCGCTACAATTCCCAAGTACGTTTTTTGCTGACTGTTAGTTGTTTTTTTAGCGGAAGCTCAAGTCTGGTTCCTCAATTCTTTGAGTTTCCCACAGCGTTCTATGTAGCTGTCTGGCCAAGAGAGTTGAGACAAATCACAGCATTTACAATCATCCAAATGTTCGTGCAATTAATAGCTCACCATCTTTAAAGAATAACACAGAGAGAGAGATCAATAAAACACTAACACAGATACGATTGAGATGAATTATTACTTTGTTGCGCTAAAACAATAATAATGGAGTGCATCACCTAGCTTCAACAGCAACCAAACGCCTAATGCCCCATAGACCAGAAAGATTGTGTGTGTAAAACACACACTTGAATATACATGGCAGAGATGTCTCCGTCTCCTCTGAGTTACATCATCCCAGATTCCATGACCTTATTTAGCAACTACCACACATGCTAATGTATACAACTGTCTGGACTAAATGTATACACATAGTTTAATCCAAACCTAGGCCACCTTTGTCCTGTGTGACCTTAATGAATAACGAAACATACGTTGATAAGGGATCTGCTATAACACTGTCGCTGCAGTGAACATTCTCCTTTAGTATCTTGACTTCTGCAGAGGCCCCTCAAGACAGTGATATCATGAGTTTTGCATGTTGCATGACACTTTTTAAACAAATACCAAAATAAATAAGATAACACAGTGACATTGTAATAATTTACACATTCACATATTAAGTGATTCATTGCCAGACGTCCTGCATTTAGAAGTTTAAACTGTGTTTCCATTAACATGGATCATAGCTTTAAACGTCTTCATATTTTCATATTTTATTTTATAACACATGTATCGAGCTCTGATTTGTCAGTAGACAGTGCTTTTCTACAAGTTGATCTCTTATCTACAACATATCCTGCTTCCAGAGAAGGTGTTCACAAAGTTCCTTTAGAGATCTACTTCCCTAACCCCAAATCCTGCTTTGTATTACAAGACACTTGTAGTTTCGGGGTTAAATTCCTGGGATTGATACTAGGGACCTGTGTTGTATGTTATTCACCGCCTTTCTCTTCCCTAACTTCCTGTCAATGTCCCCAACACAACAATATTCAATGATTAAGGTCAATTGCAAAAATCCAGCTCAGGGAAATAGCTGCGTGCATCAACCTGTTTGTTTCCAATGGTGTGTCCTCTTTATAGTGACACTTTACTTTCCAACTTGTTAAACTGCATATTTGTCACAATGGTGTGCTTTGATGCTTATAGCAATACTTGAAAACCAGTATGTATTCTGACTGTCCCAGCCTGGTATGTTTTAGAGAAATGCTCAGTTTTGAGTGACATTCTCAAAGTCAGAAAAAAAAGAAGACTGAAAGTTTCCTAGTCAGCTCCCCATGCCCTCAAATATCTGCTGCAGCTTTGCTCTCACAGGAAGCGGCAGGCTGGCAGCTGATGGGGTTTCTCCTCGAGCCCTATAGGGGTATTTGGCTAAACCCAAAGATGCAACTGCTCCTCGCCTGGCACTCAGTGTCCTGGATGCTGCAGAGCATGGGTCTGTTGAAACACAACAAAGCTGGGTTCAACCTTTGCCCTGTTGGCAGAGGTTACAGAGACAGGAAGTAGAGCTTCCCATCACCTGAACAAAGCTCAGTGCCATGAACGGGCTGTTAGTTAAGCTTCTTTTCTCGTCAGGCATATTCTCAAGGCTGGCTGGTGTCCAAGAGCTCCTGTTGCAAACGTCAAGGTGTATTGTTCACGCTAATCAATTGTGGTAGTGCTTTGATAAAGTCCTGGCACATGGCCTTTCACAGCACTGACAATGGCTCGGAGGCATATTTAGTTGAGCCAGTTTTGAGTGGCAGATGCAGATTGTGCCACCATCTTGGAGGTCAGGGTGCACACAGCCTTCAGACCTCTTGATTCATGGAACAGGGCCCTCCTGCAGCTCTGTGAACCTGAGACATGGTGTTCCCCCAGCAGACGCCTGGCTGCACTATTGACCTGGTTGTTGGGAGCAGGCCAGTTCATCTGCCATATACCTGACGATGCTCAGCCCGATGCCAGGGCTTTCACTCGCCTCAGTACTTGGCGGAGTCAGCGCACCACTTGGCATGGATTAAGCAGGGGGGGCCCTTCAACCTTTTATCTCTGTAATTGTGTTGTTTCTCCATCACATTTTTTGCGCTAGGACTGGTGGAATCTACCATATGAGGCTACCTTTCAATGATTTTGTTGCCCATAGCACCCCTGGCATCGCATGTTTGAAGCAGATCACAGAGCTGCCCATCTGGGATGTTCAAGTTGTTCACTGGGCTCTTTGTCTGCCCCCTTTTTAGCTTCCGTCCAGTCTTGGCCCGCGGCTTCTCCATTTGAAAACAGCCTTTAATTTGGCTGTTGCTTCAACCAAGCGAGTGAGTGAGCAGTGAACCCTCTCTGTGGAGGCATTGTGTCTCCGCGCGGTCAGGGACAGAGTGGTCCATGTCCTGACAGAAACCAGCCTTTCAGCAGGAGTTTCTTGCAAGTAGTTTTGTCCCTAGCCATCTTGTGACCAGAAATATTTTTTTAGAAATACATAAGGAATATATAGATTTACAGCTTCTCAAGCACATTTAAATGTAAAGATAAGTTAAACATATGAAGATACATTTAACTTGCACACAAACAATAACTTAGAATCCTTTGCTGACTATGGTGTTGGAGTACAGGGGTCAGGTCCACCAGATCTCTGAACAACCCGCTGTGTCAACCCAGTGCTTTGACTGAAATGAATAGGGAGGCTCGAAAACCATGTGTTGTCTGGATAAATTAAACGTTTTGTTTTCTGTATCATGTGTTTGTTATTGTTACAGTATCATGTATGTATGCATTTTTGTCATTTTGTTAGGGACCTTAATTATCCTACACAAGTGTAATACAGATGTAATCTTCAGCTAAAATCATTTAAACATATTGTTAATCTTCTAGGGAAATTGAACATATCCCTGGTGACATGATGCTGATGATCACTAAATGTATTTCTAAATGTTTTCTTAAACTTTAAAGGGAACAGTGACATTGAACGCTATCAAATGGCCAATAAGAAAATTCCTTTCAAATACGCCAGACCAGTAGAAGAGTGGCTACAAGAGAAAGGTAATTTCAAACTAACATGCTTCTGCCTATTTTTGCTCACGATACTGATGGGTAGAAACCTCCTCTGCACTATAATGAGAAGAATACATGTTCATTCTCTTTATTTCAGACTTAAATGAACTGTGATCAAGTGTGAACAGCGAGATTTCACTTAATATGTTTCTGTGATATTCCATGTTAATGCAGATATGTGTGATCTTATTTATAACACCACCATTAAACTTATGCACTAGAACAAACATAAATGTAAATCCTCGCATGCAACTTCCGGAGCATCATGTGTACTAAAGAAAAAATATAAATACACAACTACCTTAGGAACTAAATAATCAAACAATTTTAATTTGCAAGTGCAACGACCAGCGCAAGTATGTTGCCATCTTTAAGCATTCATGCTATTATGGTCCATGTACTGTATGTCCAGTAGTTCAATGTACCAAAGTCTGGGTGAGGTCTAAAACAGCTGAGCCAATCACAGTGTAATATGCCAAAAAGTACTCAACAAATGGAAAGATGCTTTTAGGAAATCATACGGGGTGCATGCAAGTCTCTTATTCGAGAAGCGAGGAGCGATCTCTGAAGGGAGATAGTCGAGGAACCACCACACCATTCTTCAGGGAAATCCTCAGCCGGAAGACACGCCCCCTTACTGTGTATCCGTCACTGATACGACGCTGCCGGACAACACGTCCCCTTACTGTGTATCCATCACTGATTGGATGCTGCCAGACGTCACGCCCCCTTACTGTGTTTCCGTCACTGATTGGATGCTGCCGGACGACACGCCCCCTTACTGTGTTTCCATCACTGATTGGACGATGCAGCAGCTCCACTGATCTGATGCATCTCAACCCGACTGCTTTTCAATGTCAGAGTGAAGACATATTTAACTGTAACATTCTTATACAATACAATCTTCCCACCCTACCCCGGTCGCAACATACCTCCCAGATGGACAACCCATTTTTTATGTCAGGAAAATACAAACACGGTTCTGCTTGCGCTGGTCGTTCTGCCCGACAGTAATTATTCATTATTTATATTAATAGTGCTGCTTTATAAGTGTTTTTAAAGGTGCTGTTCCCTGTCAAACATTCACACATCTGGATGTCTCCTCTAGGACGGCAGCTAACCATTTTCAACACCCAAGCAACAGTCTCTATTGGTGGTAGTGATCACAGCCGGCCTTTTCAGGGCCAACTGTCTGGCTTTCATTACAATGGCCTCAAAGTGTTGAAAATGGCTTCTGAAGGCAACGCCAACATCAAGATCAATGGGAGTGTGAGGTTGGTAGGGGACGTGCCCAGTGGGCCGGGCTCAGCCAGGAGCACCGCCATGTCTCCAGAGATGTCCACCACCTTCATCGAGACCACGACCATGATGTCCACCACTACTACACGGAAACACAGATCCTCTTCAACTGTTCAGGTAAGGATTGAAAGACATGATAGATATATTTCACATGATGATTGATGGTCAGTTTAAATCTAGATTATACACACCAGCCGCCTTAACAGATAAACATGTTGCCATTGTACGTTTCTGCAAACCAGAGCATTTTACTTTCTCAAGCTTTCAACCATGCTCTTAAAGATACATAGAGACCACAGTTAAAATACCATGTTACCATAAATATAATATGGATCTCTGAGATTTAACTTAAACACCACGTGCAATATACAATATCATTGACGAGGACTCTACGACACAGATCACAATGCAGAATCTTGTCAGAAGTATCCCAGAATAGGGCTAACGTTGGACACTGCTGAATAAAGGTGGAACTCCCTGACTGGAAAGAACCTATCCAAAATTCCTACATAAACCTGACAAAAATTCCACTTACCACATACAATTCAAAGCATCGACCTCTCTGCTGGTAGATCCTAACAACAACTCTCCTGAGAGGGAGATCCTTGTAAATGGTATATGTTTTTTTAAATACATTTTACATTTATATATTATATATATGTATATGTATATATATATAATATATATATACATTTATATTCCACTCTTCGGACCAAAAAATGCTTTTGAACAGATTTACGTACACAGTGATATTCCTAATGGTCCCCAGGAAACCCCAGAATGCTATTCAAGAATTAGATTAGACAAAACTGCATAAGCTTAAAAAATCCCAAATCCATGAGGACTATGATGACTTGGACAACATTTGTATTGATTGAATATCGGAAATGACCTCAGCATTGTCATGATGCAATGCTGAATCCTGAAGGCCTTACCTGTCGGGATAGATTGAATGAAAATTCATGCTTACCTTCTAACTCCTTTTGTATAATTTCCCTTGTCTGTTTTTTGTGTTTGTTGGCTCTTCGCGGGTATCTCTGCTGTGGCTATGACCTCTAATGACCAATGTTCTGCACATGAAGCATACGGCAGATGACATTGTGTCCTCTGCAGAGTGTTCCAGTGATGACGAGGACCTGGAGGAGTGTGAAACTAGCCATGCAGGTGGGCTAGGTTAGTTTGCATTTGCTCGCTTTTTTGTGCTTTCACTCATCTGCACCAGAGGATTGATGCTTCCTCAAAGCATCACAACCCCATGGTTAAACAAAGTGTAACTTCATATAACAGCCAATGTAGTCACATTAAACATAGCTGCAAATAACATTAACCAATACAAGGAAAGCTGGTTTAAGAAATGCACAGTTCAATTGAAGCTACATTGAAAATAGTTAAACTTGTGAATCAGGCATACAACAAATTATTTCAGTAGCCCAGAAAGCCATTGATATCATGTGCTACACTTGCACATGGGGTCTTCCAAAGTGGTTAACATGGTCACCAATATAAATACAAATTATGTCTGCAGAACGGAATAATAAGGGTTAGTACAAGTGGGCAGAATTTGTATGAGGGTGAACCATGTTATCTGCACTGATGCTGTTACATGTACATGGTGTTTGAGTCCACTGCTGCTGCCATTCACTGCTCCACTGACCTTCATTTTAAAACAATACACTTTTAAAAGTCTTATTTTATTTGTATTTGTTTAGCTTAATGCAGAATGTTGTAAAGACTACGGTGATGTTTTGTCTTCATTTGTGTTTTTCCACACTCACTTGTGTTAGTACATGTGATAGAGAACAGATATCATTGAATTTCTGTGTACAAGTTTTTTTTGTTTTTTTGGGTCATATTCTTGCTTTTAGGTGTACTTGTTATTCTGTCTTTTTTGTATCTAAAGGCTTACATTATAAAATATGCAAGCTTTGTGATAATTTAGAGAAGCAAATTAATGATTTGGAAATGTCCATATTTAACAACATAAAATTATAGGACACAGCAAACAGCCATGTTTTCACTTCCATTCTAAATAATCAAACTGTCACACAGCTTTCTGATGTGCATGGCAGTTAGATTATTTTTCTAAAGTTTTTTTTTAGTTTGAACATCCTTTAACCCATTTAAAATAATGCAACATAACCTTTCAAATATACATGTATTTGGATGTCCAGACGAAATGTCAGCTTCAGTATTTAGTTCATGTTGCGGACCAAAACAAACTGCTGCAGTAAATCCACACACTCCTTTCACCTGCAGCTCATATGAAACACTAAGTGTTATTATACAAATTATTACTAAAGTTGCAATGGATTCCAATTGGCAAACATGCTTAGCATTATCAGGAATGTATTATTGCTAGGAATTTCTTTGAAGGCCTTATTGACCATAAAACAAGGCTTTTAGCTAAATAACATTTGCATTTAAAACTATGGTGAGCTATTCTGCAAATAAAAAGATGGGTGAACTGAATGTGGGTGAGTTGTGCCCTATGACATCTCATGAGAAAATACACATTTTACTTTAGACTGTGAAATATTTAAAGTTGAATGCCAGACGGTGACTGCACTGAACAAACTGAGGCTGTTGACTTTAATCAAATGTATTACTTCAGCAGATTTCACATAACTGTAAATTAAAATATTAGGTTCAACTTAATATTATTTCTTTCAGCTAACCTTGTACACTCGTGAAATTTGTGGCATAATATATTTAATTAAGTAAATTGGCTGGCTGCTTCTCAATGTCAAGGAAAGATCCTTCAGAGCCTCTATTTCAAGGATGCTACGTCATCGAATCCCGCCGAAAGACGTCCAATGTACAGGATCCTTGGAATTCTACCGAGGACAGAATCCTTCATTGCAGGAAATTTCAAGACTGCTCATGTGTATCCTCGGCGGCCTTAAATGACCCACAATGCGCCCGGACCAATCTCCACGGATTGGCACAGTGGCATTAATAATGCAGTAATGATGGGCCTACACAACATAAAGAATAGAGGGCAGTTTCTGTTTACTTGACATTTGTTAATTGTAAACGGTTATTTTTTTCACATCTGCAATTTGCTTGTGTGTGTTTACATTATTAAAGTACAATTTAAATGTGATTACACATGTTCTCCGCATCGATAAGTGTTAGAACCACTACAAACATGCGCAAACTACATATGCAAAATTGACACGGGAGAAAAGTGTTGCTTGCTTATTGTGCGGGAAGAATTAAATAGAGGGAATAGAAAGGGGTGTCTACCAAGGGTGATTTAAACCATTATGACAACTCACAAACTAACTATGGAGTAATTATGTATGCTTAATTTACTTGATTTACATTAGAGAATAAAACTTGTACGGAAGGCAAGCAGGAAGACTTATTTAACTAGAACATCCTCCTCCTCCGAGCAGACAGACGCCGACGATACTCCTGCTCTATCTCTTCCTCCATCTAAAAAAATTAATGGATAAAAGACACCAAAAAAACGTGTCCATCTTCGATTTTAGCAAATCAGTTATGAGTCTTCAAACAAATCACGCTCAATAAGGCAGAGCCTTGCATATGACGGCGGACGCACACCTGCACACTTGCTAGCCTGTTCCATTATTCGTTCTCCGAATGCTAGTAAGGATTCTTGCCTGGCCTCTGAAGGACCTGACTCGGAAGAACATGTCCTACCAAGGAAGCGTCCTCGACTTTGAGAAACGGCTAATGTTTCAGTTTGTTCAGTGTGTCAGAAGCTTGATTTCTGAGGATTTTTGCTGACCAGCGAAATGTCCTTCGTTTTGAAGATCATTCCCGTGTTGTTCAGGGTATGTGAAAGGTTGTGGTGTAAATGGGGTTAAAGCTGTGCTGTGTAGCCTGAGATTCATGGGGATTTGTTAAGAAAGACAAAGACAGGGCCCCAGTCATCCAATCATGTGTTTACACAGAAATTCACACCACTCTAACCCTAACATCGCGTTGAAAGCTGCATGCTTTTATTTCAAATCTGCTTTTTTGCATGATTTTGGGAGTTTGTCCAATTAGATCGAGATACTGTTGTATTTTGCCTTCATCATGTGTGGCATGACGTTTTGGTGGGTGATCATTTTGTATTCTTATAGTCGGGTACCATGCGGCTTTGCACCATGCAGCTCTACATGTACCTCCAGTTTGAAGGTTTTCAGAGCAAATATAAAGGCAAAAACAATATTTTCTCACCATCAAATTCGTGTTGTCCTCTCCTAATTTTCAGCTAGTCTTCAGTCTTCCAGTCCCTTTCCTTCCCCTGTCATCTTCCTCCTAACGCTTTACTGCGTTTAAATATTTTTCAGTGAAGATGGGAAACTAATGTTTTTTTTGCCAACAATTCTAGTTATTTATTTTCTTTTATTCATCATTTTTTATCAACCATTGTTTAGCAAACTATTGAAATCGTTATTTTCTGGGTGACATCTGATCATGTTCTTGCATGTTTTTTGATTGATGCTTAAATCCATTCCCCCATATTCAGACTAAATTGGTTGCTTTGTCTGCATTCGAGTTTAAGTTGAAAATCATTTTTGCGATCGCAGCTCCATTGAATGTTGTCTATGCAGTCTGGTTTGTTGGTGAAGTTCTTGAGTGATTCTGTTCTCTGTTGGTAATCTGTAGTGTTCTCCTTTCCTTTAGATTAATTTCATAAGATGGCAAGATTCCTGAATAGCTAATACTGTGAACAATATGACAACAGTAAAGAACCATCCCATGACCAATAATTAATAATACAATATTATCTCTCTGCCAAAGTTAATCTCTAAAAGGGATGGTTTGGATGTTTTGAAGTGGGGTTGTAAAGTTGAGAGGATGCAGGCGTCACATGACTTTCTCCCAGGAGGCCACTGTTTGTCTTCTGTGTGAAACCAAAAGTCAACCATGAACTGATTTGGACAATTTAATTGATTTACTTCACATAATTTACAAACCTACACTTTTGACCTTAAAGTATGATACTTCCCAACATATTCAAGTGTGGCCTTAACCCAACCAAGTGGTTTTGTTTATTGTAGTTATGTTTAAATTCACAACATGAACCACCTTAAAGTTTAAAGTGACAAGTTGGGAATGTGGAGTTAAAATAGAAGCGATGATCCAACAATACGTAGATATGACTACAAAATGTCCTTAAAAGTGTAATGCTCTTTATACGCTTATGTTGAAGGACTGAAATGAATCATAAATGAGAATTATTATGTTTTTATATACTTATCACTCAAGGCAACCATTGGTCTCTGTTCATTATTCCTTGATAGACTAATCAGTCATGTGCCATCTTATGGAATTTGCACAAGGCAAATTATTGAATCATATGTCAAAAGATTCTGTGGTGTTAAAGCTGGTATCCATAATAATGCTTAGTGACATGTTTCCACAATCTGATGCCGATCCCCCCCATCACATGGTTAACTGTTGCGCTGATAGGACATTTTAGTCTTTTCCTGAAAGTGCCCATACAGTATTAACTATCATTGCTACAAAACAACAATGGTGTTTATTTTGGCAAAAGTATACAAGTATACTTGCTCAACCCACCCCAACCTCGAAATAAATGGCAGAAGTCTTTGTCCTTTGATTTTTCTGACAACCATTCATCCATTCAACTTCACAGCTATGGGGTTATTGCTGAGATCCCAAACATTACATTAGGCAAGGCAAGGCAAGGCAAGTTTATTTATGTAGTACTTTTCAACACAAGGTGTTCGAAAAATATCACTTGTCACCGGCTTAAGCTTCAATATCAGGATACATGTATTATTTATTCAGTATTTTCCCAACACAAGGCAATTCAAAGTGCTTTACAAAAATATAAGACATTAAGAACATTCATAAATAGTGCAGCGGAAACACATTATAAAATGGCATTTAAACACAGTCATTAAAAAGCAACTATAATAAAATAAACATACAAAATACATGAATAAAAGTTACAGTGCAGTGTGAGATATGATTGACAAAAAGATAAGTCTTCAGCCTTGATTTAAAAGTAGTAAGAGCTGCAGCGGACCGGCAGGTCTCTGGTACTTTGTTCCAGATATTTGGAGCATAATAACTGAACACTGCTTTTCCATGTTTAGTTCTGACTCTGGGGACAGAAAGCTGACCAGTCCCTGAAGACCTGAGAGTTCTGGATGGTTCTTGGTGGTTCATCATTTAGCAGTAGATCAGAAATGTATTTTGAGCCTAAACCATTGAATGCTTTATAAACCAGCTGCAGTATTTTGAAATCAGTTATTTGACACACAGGAAGCCAGTGTAAAGACTTCAGAACTGGAGTGATGTGATCCATTTTCTTAGTGTTAGTGAGGACTCGAGCAGCAGCGTTCTGAATCAGCTGCAGCTTTCTGATGGATTTTTTAGTGAGACCTGTAAAAACACCATTACAGTAGTCCAGTCTCCTGAAGATAAAAGCATGGACAACATTTTCCAATTCCTGCCGTGACATCTTTTAATCCTAGATATATTCCTAAAGTGAAGGCTGAAGCTCAGCGCTGACTTTTATTTTTTCCTCCTTGGCTCCAAGAACAATTACCTCAGTTTTTTATTTTTTTATTTGAAGAAAGTTCTGACACATCCAGTCATTGATTTGTTCAATGCACTTACTCAGTGTTCGAATTGGACCATAGTCTCCTGGTGAAATGGTTATGTAAATGTGGGTGTCATCAGCATATCTATGGTAACTTATTTTGTAGTTTTTCATTATCTGAGCCAGTGGTAGCATGTAGATGAGAAGAGACCCCAAGATGGAGCCTTGAGGTACCCCACATGTCATATTTGTCAACTCAGATGTGTATTTACCTATAGAAACAACGTTTTTTCTGTCCTTTAAGTT